TGCCTACATGTTGCATTGCTGTATAGGAGTAAAACCAAACCTAAAAGCAGTTCATGCCAATTGCTTTGTTGTTGTGTTCTGTTCATTTTTTTTGTCATTGTTCATATTTTCTGTTTGGTGCACACAATGCTGGTTTTTTTTTATTTGACCCTAAATTTTGTTAGGCATTATCAAGCAGCACAGACATTGTCACTTTGACCCCACTTTATATCGAAAACAAAAGCATAAATCTCTATTTTCTACATTTACATTTATTGCATTTGTGGATTCTTCATTGCAATCAATAGAAAATGGCAAAGTTTTATCAAAGTCGATCAAACAGATTTCAAGAACAAACACAATTCTGTAAGCCACATAGAAGAGGCTTTGCTAATACTCTGCCTCAATAAAATAATTGTCCTTAATTTTAAGTGAAATTGTGAAGAATGTTAGTATTGACTAATGTTTTGAATTTAGTTAATATACAGTAGAGTCCTGCTAGTCTGAACATGTTTCTGTCAGTGGAGAGGAAATTTTCTCTAATAAGAGGTCCATTTAGGGGGTGTTCCCCTTTTTTTCTTTCCTGAGAGAACCACACAAATAAAGCTTTATCAAGCTTGTCAAATGTTGAGGACCTTGCCATTTGTCAATTTTCAACTGATTTTTCTGAAGTAGAAGTACAAAACTGCTTGATCTTTCCTTGCCCAGTCCAAACTCTACTGCCAATTTTGTTGCACTTTCACATGTGTCCAGCCTTTTTAAAACATCCAGCTTATCTTTCAACATACACATTGTGTTTCCATTTCATGGCCATTGTAGCAGCAGACTAAACTAAACTAAAATAATGTAGAGCAAAGAGTACATTCAACATCCACAATTAAGTGTGCTAACTGGTACACAGTAGCATCAATCAAGTGATTGGAATTCTGGACTGTGTATAAAAAACAATTTTTTTTTACAGTTAAAATAATGTTAAGGTAAACAATGAAGGCAAGTTTCCATTTCAAAATTACAAAACTTGTTTTTGTTAACTGTTTGTGCTCTCTATTGAGTCAAAGTCAAATGAAATAAAGGGTGGGTACTGATGTTGTTGATGGTGTTGGATATATTAGGGGTAGTCAAATGAAAATGAGACAGATGGGAAAAAGTAAGTAAACTGTTTATTATTTCAAAAGTAATTGCCGTAACTGTTAATACATTTATCCCACTGTGAGACAAGACGGTCATTGCCTTCATAGAAAAATGTTTGCAGTTGCCTACAGAACCATGATTGTACCCAGGCGTGCACCTTTTCATCCAAAACAAATTGATGGCCATGAATATCTTTCTTCGGGGCTCCAAAAATATGGAAATCTCATGGAGAGAAATTGGGACTGTATGGAGGATGTATATGGACTACACTGCAGAAGTTCCCAGCAAAACTTCTGCAGCATAGTCAAAACAATCTTGGGACCGAGGTAACATGTGGGTGGGCATTATCCTGCAACAGAATGATGCTGTCTGTCAACATTCTTGGGTGTTTGAATTTGATGGCACGCTTCAATTTTTGCAAAGTTTCCATGTACTGCTGTGCATTAATTGTGGCGTCGTGTTCCAGAAAGTCAACAAGCAGTGGACCTCCATAGTTATGGAGGACGCACACACAACTTGCCGACCTCACTTCGAGCACGTCTAACAGACAAATGGCACAGTGGTGAACGTTCACACTGTTCCTTCCTGATTCCCAATAGAGGGCATTTCTATATACACACCTACCTGCATTATCAACTTCCATGCCACACTTGTTATATAGTCTATCTCGTTTTCATTTGACTGCTCCTAATATATAAACCAGATCTGTTTTACTGCTTGCTTCTGCATTATTTCAGTTATTCGGCTAATCCAACAGGGCTCGGTCCCAATTAGTTCGGACTAACGGGACTCTACTATATATATAAAATACCTAAGCAAAAGATTTTTAGTATAAATTTTCAAATACCATTTTATGTTGGAAAAATTAAGAAAATTGAATCTAAATAATGATTTATTTCAAACAAGTTATTTCAGTAATTACTGAAATAACTTGTTTGAAACATATATATATTAGGGTTTCTCAAACGGGATCCCGGTTGTTTTTTTAACCCGGGAAATATCCCGAGAAATCCCGCAAATTTCTTAAAAATTCACTTTTTTTCTTATTTTGTGTTAAGGTTGAGGAATTTTGCAAATAGAAAGCATAATTAACTCATTCACTGTCAGAATACATTTGTATTTATTAATTTTAAACCTACCTATTAGTTTTTTTTTAATTTTTGCTCGTTATAGCATGTCACAAATGGTCAATAATCAATATATAGCTTATTTGTGGCAGGACTATAAAAATTCTTTACTTGTCGGAACCTGTAATATCTGGAATAATTGTGCTTACGCTGTCTTGAGTTTTAA